CTTCTATATCTAAGATTTGATTTTCTGTATGATCTAGTCTGCTTTTAATACTTTCAAAGGAGGTTTTGCCTTTCTGTTTTATAGCCTTCATCCCCAACAGTTCCATTTGATTCTTTTTTATGGTGTGTATTTCCTCTTTCAGCTCTCCCAAGAACTTCCTCACCTCATGGAACTCATCAGCTTTTTTCTTTTGGTGTTCATTGTCTCGCTTCTCCATCTCTGTTAGTTTTGTCACTATGAATACTCTAAATTCTTTATCAGACATTTCCATGAGTTTCATTGTACTGTCTGTGGATGAAGAGGAGTTATTCTTTTTTCTTTGGGGTGAGGTATTTTCTTGGTTTTGCATATTTCTTGTCCCCCTGTGGTGATTTCTAGTGATCTGATGTGTTACTCATTTCTTCCTAATTTCTAGAAGACCAATGTGAGTGGTCAGAGTCTGAAAACTCTTTGGGGTTGCATTTTTCTCCCTTTGTGCCGTAGATTCAGTGGAAGTTGAGGAATATTAGGACCCAAATAGTATTTGGATTTTGGCAACTTTTTACTTAGACTTATTCAGACACTCAGTGGGTGGAGGCTGAGCAGTGAAGTGATGCGGTAAAAGAAAAAAGATAAGAAAACAGAGAAAGAGAGAAAGAAAAAAAGAGAAAAATGGATAAGCAGACAAATAAACAAAAATTATTTATTTGATAATTTTTAAAAACAAAAAATGGAAACCGTGCGGCATGCCAGAGTGCCGCATGAAATCACTAGATCTCAGCTCTCATGGCAGACTCAGTCTTCTTCTGGCCTGTCCTTTCTTTTGCCTAGATGGGAGGCAGAATGGGGAGGGGATTATTACCACGATAAAGGAGGATTTCAGAGCCAAGAAAGAAAAAAACTTTTACCTTAAAAAAGTAAAAAAAAAAAAAAAAGAAAAAAAGAAAAATGAACAAAATGAAAAGACCGAGACAAAGATGCAGAAAGAGACAGAAAGAGACAGAGAGAAGGAGCTAGGGGCTCTACCAGGATAAATTCTCAGCAGAACATCTTCATTGCTCTTATCTCTGAAGTCACTAGATCTCAGCTCTCATGGCAGATTCCACATGGGCACCATTTAATAAGGAGGAATGCTCAAAACAAGGTTGCTGTGGTGTCGTATTTCATACATAAAATCCCCACATCTTGAGTGTCCATCAAAAGGAAAAGGGATGCTTCTCTGTGGTAGAATATACGCAATAAGGAATGCAATGCAGGGAAAACACCTGTATGCATTAATATACTATGGTCTATAAGACTTATTACAGAGTTTATAAAGCAAGTTAGGAAAAGTATGCACAAAACATATCATGTGTATAAATAAGAAAGCATAAATAAAGAACTATATGTATCAATATATTCTGTTGTTTCATATTTGGTGAATGTATGTAACCTGTAGTAAAATGCTTAGAAACAGCAACTTCAAGTTGATTGAGATGAAGGAAGAATTATGGTAATGGGTAATGAGGGCCATCTGGGTGGTATTACCCTTAAGGCAGCTGGATTCCACATGGCTGAATTCTGGACACAGGGGCTTGAGAAACAAGCCAGGCACATGTAGAAGTGTGCCCCCATTCCCAAGAGGAGCACGGAGGAGAAGAGATTGCAGCATGGCCCTCCCTCCTGGGGGATGCTTTCTCACTTTCTCTCTCTCTCTCTGGCAAGTGCTCACGCCTTATAGCTAATTTAAAAATAAATAAATAAAACCTTATAAAAACCAAAGAATTAGAGAAATGAATGATGAAAGGACCAGAACTGGGAGTGGTAGTCAAAGGGAATTTGTTTATTCTATGTAATATTTTATTATTTTTACTGATTAACATATTGATAAATTATTCCTAATGTTAAAATTAATAAAAATGTCATAAAAGCTCTCATTGCATGTTTATCCATATTCTTCTCACAAAAAAGGGAGGAAGGAGAAAATTTTTATACAACCATCCTATCTATTTTTCGAACTACTGGGATCAGGATAGCTTTTAGTTTACACTCCTCTAAGGTCTTATTCTTTGATTTTATAATAGTTACGTGAATTTTTTTCTCCTCCTGTAGACTGTAAACTAGCACTCCATCCTCTTTTATATACTCTTTTTTTTTTGGAGAGATTTTTGCTGCAGGGCACGTGCGCTTGCCAGAAAGACAGAGAAAGACAGAGACCGAAAGTGAGAAATCACCCCCCAGGGGTGGATGGTGACACTGCATTCCCTTCTCCTCCATTCTCCTCTCAGGATCCTTGGAACGCACGCATATGCACCTGGCATGAGTTTAAGCCACCGGGTCCGGGACTTGAACCATGGTCGACTACATGGGACTCCAGCAACATAGCCATTACACCAACAGCTGGTCCCCCTCTTTCACATATTCTTAAAACCTAGTAAGTTACTTGTTATAGTAAAGATTCCGTAATTGTTTATAGATTCATTTTGAACCAAATTAGAGAAATCAAGTGACTAGCAGAAGATGAAATTGCCAACTTATTTTAACCTATTAATTTCCATAGCAGTACATATTAAAGCTATATTTCAATTGCCTCATTTACAGGGGCCATTACTTTGTTTTCTGACCATGAAGTTTACCTCCATGAGTAAACCTGAATGAACTGGGCTGAGGTTGTGTGATTGCTGCATTAGTTGGTTTGTGGTGGCTTTGTTGATGGTTTCAGGCCACTAGGGGGCACTCTAAGCTTTACCAGAAATTACTTTTTTCTGATGATCCCAGAGGGCCGAATAATGAAAAGAGGAAACCACAGAACCTGTGCAGGATGGTGATGTGAGCAGAGAAAAGGGAAGTGCAATTTAGCTGGGCATGGTTAGCATGGAAGCTCAATGAAAACATCTTGATTTCCTGCTCTAAATCTAGAAAGATTTATGACTAAAATTTTCCAAATTCAGGGATATGCTAATATCCTTGATAACCAATTTTTTAAAAATATTTTTTCTCTGAGACTAGAAAAAAGAAAAAATAGAACAGAAGAAAAAAGGAAAAATAGGAACAAAAACAGAAGAAAAGGAAAACAGCTATATTTAATTGGAGCAGCAATGTGTGGCGGGATCAGTATGGAGAAAGGGCTGGAGAGAGAAGAGATGTTGAAATCAAAGCAGGGAAGACATCCCACAGTTTTTATTTTATCCAAGCAAATTCAGATTGGAAACATTTACTATGCAGATAGCAATATCCTGATTTCAAGACATTGTATTTATTTCTTTTAAAAACATTGCTTTTCTTTATTCAGGATAGAGTACACGCACACATGAGAATGAGAGAACAAGAGAGGTGAACACGCTCCATGAGGTCTGGCCATGCCGTGATCCCCTTCCTCCTGTCCCAGATCCACCGGACACTGAGCACTTGCGTGTCTCTGGCGCGTTCCAGGCTGGCGGGGTCGGGGATTTGGATCACAGCTGCCCTGTGAGATCCGGCTTGTTGTTGAGCCGCGCATTGCCGCTGTGCCACGAGCCGCCCGTGTTTACGTCATGCAGACGCCTGCTCTCAAACAGTTTTCCATTACCAGAATTTTCCCATGATTTAATTCTCAAGTTCTCTGTCCAACTATGAATTTAGAAGAGAAGGTTTACTATTTTTATGATTTTCCAAAGCTCTATTTAACCCAGTTCAGACACAGATTCTCCTCAGAGGTGTGATCCTCTAACCTCACACGTTTTCCTACAAATTTCTTTTATGTAATGTGTTTGCTTTTTAAAAAAACCTTTATGCAGTATCTTCATACACTGGAAGTAATGCCTCCTACCCTCCTGCTCTGCTCCCACCCACAATGTGCGGAACATTACAGTGAGTCTCACTGAGCCACAGTGGGTGGGGTTTCCTGTGACGATGAAGGACAGAGCTCAGATGTCACTGGTGCTTGGTGAATCTGGTGGAGCCCACTGGCTGTAAGAACAAGACTTGGCACCCTCAGAGCCGGGCTGAAGGCACCCTGTCCACTGGGCAAACTGTCATGGAGGGGAGACTGGGAGCTGTGCTGGGGCTTCTGTGGGTCCAGATTTGCTGTGAGTTGGGACTGGCCTGGAAGGGGCCTGAGGGGTGTCCCACAGCTGGTGGTGGGAGGGGGGGAGGGAGAGCTGACTGGAAGCTCCTGGAGCCTCCTTGGTATTTCAGGGATATTTCACAGGTTTGAAAACTGCATCATTGTTCCCCAGTGACACCACGTGCATTTGCTTTTCTCTTCCCAACCAGGGGTGAGAGGGTTCCAGGTGGAGCAGAGTCCTCCAGCCCTGAGTCTCCAAGAGGGAACCGACTCTACTCTGCGGTGTAATTTTTCTGCTACTGCAAACAAAGTGCAGTGGTTCCGACAGAATCCTGGGGGCAGCCTCATCAATCTGTTTTTCGTGACTTTAGGGACGAAGAGGAGTGGAAGGTTAGAGGCAACATTTAATTCTAAGGACCTCTATAGCACCCTTCACATCACAGCCTCCCAGCTGGAAGACTCAGGCACCTACCTGTGTTTAGCAGAGGCACAGTGCCCCCAGGTCACCTGCAGGCTGAGCTCAAACTGCAGCTGGGCCCCTGCCATGGGGAAGACTGTGCGCCAGCATTTGTTCAGCTTTGAGCTTTCAAGTTCACACCTTAACACTTTTATTTCTGCTAAAATTAGACATTTCTGGTCTGTCTTTTCACTTGTTTTTTGTACCCTTCCCCCCACCTCGAAACTTTTTGCAACTAATAAATCTGTCTTATAAGGAACCTTTGGAGCAACTGATAAAGATTTCAGGAACCAATTTATCACAACAGTTCCCCTGACTGAGAGCTTATAAATTACTGTGATAAAAAGGGCTTGAAAAAAATATATACTCAACCACAAACAAAAGAGAAGGCTCAGTGTTCTAGTTAGTTGCAGATGTTCAATTTTCTAGTACAAGGGCAGAGAGCATGCCATCAATTTTATTTACATACTTGTATTCAGAGTCTTATTCTGGCATTTCATAATATATATCATTTTAAAATACTGGCCATTATTATCTGGGTTATTTCATGTGTAACAGTTATGTCACTGAACTCCAACGTAGTCAACGGCAGTTTGAGTCCTGGACCCAGCAGCTTCGAACTCACTCTTGGTTCATGTGCATGTGTGCCCAAATCCTGAGGACTCTTGGTTTCATGTGCATGTGTGCCCAAATCCTGAGGAGCAAGCATTGCAGGATGGCTATCCCTCCTGGGAGATGATTTCCCGCTTTCTGTTTCTCTGTCTCCCGGTTAGCACCCTATAGCAGAAAATCTCTCTTAAAAAAAAAAAAAAGAAAAGAAAACATGCCAGAGATCATGTGTGTGCATGACTGAAATCTGATAGGATAGAGAAATGGAGGAGAAGAGATCATAGCACGGCGGGGGAGGGGGGGAATTCTCCTTCTCTTTCTCTATCCCTCCCTGGCAAGTGCATGTGCCCTCTGGCAGATAAAAAAAGCTGAGAAAAATTATTCCACTAGAACTATCAATCCTAGATTTCTGAAATTTATATTTAAAGCTAACTTATCAGACATGTATTCTAATGTCACAATACAGAAAACACTCCTAGGAGCGCCAGTGTCAGTTGCATCAGCAGATATAACCTTCTAAAAATTAGAAATGGATAATTTTGTTTGCAATTTTACAGTTACCATGAGTAACTGACATCATTTTCAATTATAGTGCTTGATGAAGTTACTAAAATACAGATTTTGAAAATCTAATTAAGTAGGAGAAAACTGAGCCAGAGAGATCTTATGATTAATCAAGATATCACATTAACATTGTGGATTAATTAATGCATAAATTATAATACCAAAATATTTATTTCCAATTTCCAAGTTTGTGTTACTGCATACTCTCATTATAAGCAATGGTAACACCCCTTTAATGATAGCTTCATATTTTATCGCCTAATGCTACTTTTTCCCGCTTTTTGAACAAGGACTCCAGAGTTTCTTTTTGCAATGGGTGCTCTGCAATCAGGCTGTTTGAAAAGTGCCTTTAGCTTTACACGTTACTAAACTCATCTGCTTCTAGGTTCTCTAAATTGACACTGTTTTGTTTTTCTTCCTATGACAAAGATATCATATGCTATAGATGTAAATTTAATGAATAGACCTTCAAAAAGAAGCATAACGCTTACCTAGGGCTCAGTCATGGAGTTCACCCCTATATCACCTATAACAATATTACACTTAGTGAGCAAAGTTCCATTTTATTAATTTTACGATAGATTTAGCCTCTTCTTGACCTATCAGCCTCACTGGTAATGCAGGAGGAATGAGAACCCTGAGAATCCTGAGAGGAACCCATCCCAGGGATTCAGTCTCTACTTCTGGTTTGGTTTGGATGGGGATAATCCCCGAAATACTAGATTGCATGTGGAATGGTCTCAGAGTTCCAGCTTTGGGGGGACAGAGTGTGAGACAATGTGCACTTGAAACACTGAGTGCTCTTTTCTTGCTCTGATCTTTGACTCACATGTTCCTTGTAGAAAGTTTTTCTCTATAGTAGATAAAATCATGGTTGTAGATTTGATTTTTTAAAAGGTATTTTGTTTTCTTTGTTTAGGGGAGTGAATCATGGCGCTTTCTTGATTTCAAACATGTAAACTCAACTCATTTTTGAATATGCACCAACAGCATCTAGTTCTTACCAATATTTCAATAATGACTCAGTACCGTGCATAAAAATACAAATCTTAATTACTACATTCTTACTGTGCATTTAACCTTGGTTCTAAAATTTAATTTGTTGGTCCTATTGCAGGTCTTATGCACCTGAGTCCCCCATGGCTGAGAGCAAAACATTTACCAGCCAGTCAGTAGTTAGGGATGTGACCACAAGATGGTGACACGCCATTGCTAATGCAGAATGTGTGGAGGATAGGTGGGTGGGTTCTGAATGGACAGGCTTACAGTAGGAGCAGAACCTTTTTCTTATTGGCTAGGGCTCCCAATGTGAGAAACCACTAAGACTGCTAGAGAAAAAAAAGGGGTGATCTGTTAGTAGACATCGCTCCCCAGTCTGGAGGTTGCAGATCTACGACTGATCCTAACTTGGAAGAGCAATGAAGAAATCCATTCAAGCTGTATTCATGTTCTTGTGGCTGCGGCTGGACTGTGAGTTCAGGGTTTGGGAATCAGCGTATATTTTCATGAATGTTATTTAGCTGTGCAGGGAGGAGAGTGGCTTTATTCAGATTTCCTCCAATTACTTCAGAAAAACAAAATTCTGGATTTGGCAACTCTTGACCCATCTCTGACTTTTTCTTCCTACCTAGGGGTGAGCCGTGGAGAGAACGTGGAGCAGCGTCCTTCTACTCTGCGTGTCCTGGAGGGAGACAGCTCTGTCATCAACTGTTCTTATTCTGACAGTGCCTCAGGCTACTTCCCCTGGTATAAGCAAGAATCTGGAAAAGGTCCCCAGCTCATTATAGATATTCGTTCCAATAGGGACAAAAACTACAACCAAAGACTCACTGTTTTTTTAGATAAAGCAAAGAAACATTTCTCCCTGCACATCGCGGCCACCCCCCCACCCGGGAGATGCAGCCATATACTTCTGCGCGGCCAGTGCACAGTGCTTCCCGGGCACCTGCTGCCTGCACCCAAACCCAAGGCTACAGCTGAAGCCCCGTTCCTTCCCTCTGTACAGGTCTTCAAATGCAGCATTTGTCATAGTGTTTCTTTGCAATTGGAAACTAACACATGGGTAATAAAAGCATATAATAAAAAGGTTATAGAGTCAAGATGATCAGAAAGGGTTAGAGCCTTTTATTTGCTGATGGTTGCTTAATAGAATATTTTTAATTTTGTATACTTAGGGGGAACAGCATGATGTTTTGATACACATGTACAAATTTTACAAATTGAAAAATCGACAGCTGGATGAGCAGGCTATGGGGAAGGAGGTAGGGAACTTCCACACTGTCTCCAGAGATGCTACCGTCAGGCATCTCCATGTGTTGAAGCTGCACTGAATGAATTCTTTTTTTTTTTTTTTTTGAAGAGATTTTCGCTATAGAGTGCATGCGCTCACCAGACAGACAGAGAGAGACATAGAGACAGGAAGCGAGAAATCACCCCCCAGGG